TTGTTAGATCTCTCAGCGGCTTTTGATACCATTGACCATGGTATCATGTTGCACTGGTTGGAGGGGTTGGGGGTGTGGAGCACCATTTTGCAGTGGCTCTCCTCCTACCTCTCTGACCGGTCGCAATCTGTGTTGACAGGGGGGCAGCGGCCGACCCCGAGACACCTTGTTTGTGGGGTGCTGCATTGGTCAGTCTTCTCACCCCTTCTGTTCAACATTTATGTAAAGCCACTGGGTGAGATCATCCGTGGCTGTGGGGTGGAGTTCCATCAGTACGCTGATGACACTCAGCTGTACATCTCCACCCCAGGCCACCCCAACAATGCCCTTGAAGTGATGTCCTGGTGCCTGGAGGCCGTGTAGGCCTTGATGGGGAAAAACAGGGTCCGACTCAACCCTTCCAAGACTGAGTGGCTGTGGCTTCTGGCATCCCAATATAGCCAGCTGGTGCCATCACTGGTTATTGAATCACTGGCCCCCACAGAGAGGGCTCGCAACTTGGGTGTCCTCCTGGATGCACGGCTGTCTTTAGAAGAGCATATGACAGCCGTGACCAGGGGGGCTTTTTATCAGGTCCGCCTGATATGCCAGTTGTGTCCCTTTCTGGATCGGGACTCCCTACGCATGGTCAGTCAGGCACTTGTCACTTCCTGCCTGGACTACTGCAATGCTCTCTACGTAGGGCTCCCCTTGGGGTGCACCTGGAGGCTCCAGTTGGTCCAGAATGTGGCCGCGCAGGAGATTATAGGAGCGACGGGGCGCTCCCATGTGACACCTCTCCTGTGCAAGCTGCACTGGCTTCCGGTTGTCTTCCAGGTGCGCTTCAAGGTGTTGGTGACCACCTTTAAAGCACTCCATGGCTTAGGGCTGGGATATCTACAAGACTGCCTTCTGTCACCAATAGCCTCCCACCGGCCCGTTCGCTCGCACAGAGAGGGCCTCCTCAGGGTGCCGTCGGCCAGACAATGTTGGCTGGTGACCCCCAGGGGGAGAGCCTTCTCTGTGGCGGCACCTGCCCTCTGGAATGGCCTACCCCCAGAGATACGCATGATACCAGACCTCCGGACTTTTCGTGGGGCCCTGAAAACTCATCTACTTCATCTAGCCGGGCTGGCTTGATCCCATCCTTTTGGTTTTAATTTGAAATTGGTTTTAACTGGGTTGTTTTAAATTAAAGGCCAAAACTATTTAATGTCTTTAAAACTGTTTTTTAAATTTTATATGTTATGTTTTATCTCAGCTGTTCACCGCCCTGAGTCTTGTTGGAGAAGGGCAGTATAAAAGTCAAATAAAATAAATAAAATAAATAAATAAATAAATAAATAAATTTCTAAATTTCTTCTTAGAAATCTTGAATTCTATCTCAAGAATCACAAATTAAGAGAAGGTACCCCAAACCCTTTAATAGATTAAAAACACCAATTCCTTTTCATACAATTCATCTTAGATAAGTTTATAAATGTAGCAATCTAATTTTTTTTTATTGAAAAAGTTTTTCAAATACAAGTTTTTCCCCCTTTTTTTCCCCCTCCTCCCTAACCCCCCTCCCCCTCCCCTCCCCCTGTGACTTCTTCATAATAAAACCCAAGTTCATAACAGATTATATAATACTTTACCATCCCCTTACTCCATCCCCATATGCTGACCCTTTCTTTCTAATAATATTATCACATCCCCCTTATACTATACATTTCAAAATGAAATTCTATTATAACATTATATACTAACTCCTAATTTAGCATAATAATATTATTATATCTCCCAGTTTAGCGATTTCTGCTCATAATCTACCCTTTTTCTAAACCCCAAACATATATCTCTTAAATCAAATCTTTTATGTATATTAATACAACATTTCAAAGCCTTCCCATTCATAGTCTACCCATTTCCTTCACCCCCATCATTATATCTCTTAACTCAAATCTTTTACATATATTCATATCTAAACATAATATCCCTTTTCTTAAACTAAACGATCAATAAATCAATAAACTAACCTGTCTCCACCCACTTTCCTACAAGACTACCATACTTAATAATTCTTAGTATCTTTATTCTTCTGCCCACACCACTAAAAAATATTCCCTTATGTAAATAAAATCCTCTTAAAAAAACTTTAGGCTTATAATCCATATAATATCTTCTGTAATGTCTTTCAGCTGGATAGTAAACTCCATCACCCATGTTAGGGTAACATCACATCCTAATTCCAACAGTATGTTCGGTATCTTCCATTACCATCTGCCCCCATCAATAGCAAATATCTTCAAAAAAAAAAAAAAAAACAACCACCCGAGTGACTTTATATTTATATTCCATATAGTGTCTGTGGAGGTGTCTTTTATCCAAATTATTAATTCCAACCACCGTAATAGGGTAACAGCCAGATCATCTGTGTGCCCCAATTCCATACACTCTTGCCTTCTGGCTCAAGATAAACGTAGTATATTTATCAAAGAATCCAGAAAAAGATAGTTCCAATCCATTCAGTTTAAGACCCTTTTCACATCCCAAAAGTACAGCACTGCAGAGGTCTGTCATTCTCCTCAGGATAATATAAACCAATACTTTGCCGATTATCTTTTCATATATTCAATCATCTCTTAAATAACTGGCATTACACTGTTGTTTAGTTTAAAAGTTTTTGTTTTTATGAGACCTGGTTCTTCTTTTCTTGACTTTTTGTGGGTTGGATCTCAATCCTGATTTCCTTTCTATAAATTGTATATCAACTATTTGGTTTTCATGCTGATCTATAACTTGATCCTGTTGGTTTTGCTTTTGTGGCATAAATCTCCATTCTGGTTCTATAAATTGTATATCAACTGATTGATTTCCATGCTGGTTTGTAATGTGATAAGTCATTACATTAGATTCCAAAGCCGCCTCTCTTGTATTAAATAGTCCAGCTGAGACCTCTGAAGGAGAATCCAGAAGCGGCTCACCTATAGAAACCTCTGTAACTTGTTGTTTCTTCATTACTTCCACCTCCTTCTGCTTATCTTGAATTTCTATCTCTTGTTGATTTTGCTTTTTGAGAACCTTGTAGTAAAATTCTTCCGCTTTTTCAACAGTATTTTACTGATATCTTTCTCCTTGATATCTCAGTATTATACCAACTGGAACGTCTCACCTGAATGAGATATTTTGTTTTTTTAGCTCAGTCACCAAAAGTCCAAATTTCTTTCTATCTTTTAACATCTTAGGCGGCAATTCTTTATATATCCAGATCTTTCTTCCATACAGTTGTGGAGTAGAATTAGAAGATTTTTGCACAATATCATTTCTTATTTCTTTATCTGTGAAGTAAATCACCACATCTCTAGGCAGTTGCCTTTGCTTTTTAATCCAAGAATTTACTCTATAGGCCTTGTCAATTTTACAAGATACCTCCTCAGGATGAACCTTTAAAATCCCAGCCAGAACTTGAGCAGATATTTTTCTTAGATCATCTCTATTATTTTCCTGTAACCCTCTCATTCTGACCACAAATTCTGTGAGCCTGTATTGCATCATTACAACTTCTCTTTCAATCCCTTGCTTTATATCTTCTGCATTGTAGGTCTCATGACCAGCTTCCTTTTTAGACTTTACTTCTAAACTATTGTCTTGAATATTTATCAAATCATTTTCAATTCTTTGTATTTTATTGTCCAAATTATAAATCTTATCATCAACTTCCTCCATTTTAGACTCTAATAGTTTGATATTTGTATCCATCTTTATAACAACTTCTGAAAAAGCATTAGTCACTGTTACAATCTTTCGTTGCAGATTATCATATTTTAGTTGTATCATTTCTTTAATTTCCTGCCTTAATTTTTCAAATTTCTGATTCACAGTCTCGTGATATTTTGCCATTTCCTCCTGAAGAAATTCTTTTAAATTAAAACCATTCTGCTGAATCTGTAAGCTCAGAACTTGTTCACATAATTGCAAATGGGGGAGCACCCCCCCACACTGCTTATTTGTCAGACTTTGCTAGTTTTAATGCCATCTTGCCACACAAAAGAACTCTTTTTTTTAAAGAAAACTTTTCCCCAAACAAGATCAAATGCAAATCTCCAAGAAAAAAGAAACTTAAAATGAATATTTTCCTTCTAGAGTCTAGCCAGCACTGTGTATTTCGCTACTTTGTAGCTTATTACAGAAGGACTTTCACTTTCGGCTTTCTTCTCAAGCCTCAGCAGTTGCCATTTTAAACTTTTTTTTCCTCTCAGTTAAAAACGCTTATAAAATCATTAAAAATACTTGCGATTTAGGGTCCCAGGTTCAAATCTTGCTCTATTTAACTAAACCATCTGTTAGTTTTATTGGTTGGTCCGGTCCCGGGGCCTGGCTCTGCAAAAAGGCAGAGTTCTCCCGAAGCCTGGAGCAGCGGCGAGGGAAAATAGGGAGCCACAATCTGCTCGTCCCCAAGAGTAAAAAAAAACTCTGGGGACTTCGCAGAGGGCTCTACCTGCCCTCGCCTGCTCTGGCTCACATTTCCATCAGGAAATGGAGTTTTTCGAGCCGCCTTTCAGATGTAAAGGCGGCTCTTTACAGGCAACGGGGCTGGCGGTCACGTAGGACTGTCTGGTGGCGACGGAAGCCAGACCGGAAGTCGTAGCAATCTAATTTTTGAACCCCACAATGTTTGAATGACATTTCTCCCTTTTTGTCTCTCTCATTTTTAACCTCCCCTCTAATTGCTATATTTCCAGTTTGTGTATAGCTCCCTTCCAAAAATGGAGAAGAAAATCCAGATCATTTCCCTTTATGAAATGGTCCCAAATCAGGAACATCAGTACAACGGGATTTGTCAGCTATTGTTGCATTTCAGATGGACCTGGATCGGGGTTCTGGTTAAAGAAGATGCAATAGAAGGATTTCAGCAAAACATACTTTCCATGTTTTCTAAATCTGATATTTGTGTTGAATTCTTAGAAAAACTTAAGCCTTTTTTCATCAGCACTATTTTTAATGGAATGAAACAATTGTTGAAATTGTATGAGATTATCATGAACAGCAAAGCCAATACAGTGATAGTCTATGAACAAAATGTTTTACTTTTGAGGGTGTTGTTATATTTACCTTATATGGAAGAAGTACTTACAATGCCTAAAGCTAAAGTGTGGATTCTGGTCTCTGAACTGGATCTTGCTTCCTTCGTGTTTCAAAAGGGATGGGATATGCAAGGCCTCCATGGTGCTCTTTCCTTTGCTGCTTACTCCAATGAAGTTCCAGGATTTCAAGCTTTCCTTCAAAATAGGAATCATTTATTCATAAAAGAAGATTTGTTTGTGAGAGAAGTGTGGGAACAAGCATTTGGTTGTGATTATCCCACTTCATCTGTGATTACAGATAGTACTTGCACTGGGGAAGAGAGATTGGAGAGCCTTCCAGCAACTCTTTTTGAAATAAGCATGACTGGCCATAGTTACAGTATATACAATTCAGTCTCTGCTATTGGATATGCTCTACATGACATGCAGTCAAGTCTACAAAAATATAGAATGCTAAAGAAGGGAGGGAAATTGCACCTTCAAAATCAGCAGCCATGGAAGGTAAAGTAGCTTATAAAAATAAATTAAAAGCATTGTTTAGGTCAGTTAATTTAAATGTTTAATTATGTGTGGCATGAATATATATTTTATCAAAATTTTATTAATTCATTTTTCCATCTATCTTTTTCTCTCCATTGGGTTGGAGAATTGGAATATCCAAACATTAAGCAGTTAAGTACCTTGACCTGTACCAATCAGGTTTCAGGCGCAGTCACAACATGGAAACAGCATTGGTCGCCCTGGTGAATGATCTCTGGCGGGCCCGGTGGGGGCTGTTCCTCCATCCTGGTTCTACTTGACCTCAGTGGCTTTTGATACCATCGACCATGGTATCCTGCTGCAGCGACTCGGAGGGCTGAGGATAGGAGGCACTGTTTTACGGTGGTTCTCCTCCTACTACCTCTTGGGTCGCTCGCAGTTTGTATGGGCGGGGGGACAGAGATCCTCCCTGAGGCCCCTCACATGTGGGGTGCCTCAGGGGTTGGTTTTCTCCCCCCTGCTCTTTAACATCTATATGAAGCCACTGGGTGAGATCATTTGTGGTTTTGGGGTGAGGTATCATCAATATGCTGATGATACTCAGCTTTATATCTCCACCCCAGACCACCCTGAGGATGCCTCTTCTGTGCCTGGAAGCGGGCCTGGATGGGAAGAAACAGACTCAGACTCAACCCATCGAAGACCAAGTGGCTGTGGATGCCAGCATCTCAGAATCTAGTGGTTCTGTTGCTTGTGATAGGAGGGGAGGTACTTACTCCCTCTGAAAGGGTTCACAATCTGGGTGTTCTCCTGGATTCACGGCTGTCTTTAGAAGATCACTTGACAGCCGTAATCAGGGGGGCTTTCACACAGGTATGCCTGGTGCGCCAGTTGCACCCTTTCCTAGACCAGGATGCCCTTGCCATGGTCACTCATGCCCTTGTTACTTCTCGGTTGGATTACTGTAACGCCCTCTACATGGGGCTGCTCTTGGGATGCACCTGGAGGCTTCAGCTAGTCCAGAATGCGGCTGCACGGGTTGTTATGGGAGCCTCTCGTTACTCCCGTGTAACACCATTCCAGTGCAAGATGCACTGGCTGCCGGTGGTCCTCCAGGTTCGTTTCAAGGTGCTGGTGCTCACCTATAAAGCCCTACATGGCTTAGGCCTGGGGTACTTGCAGGACCATCTTCTGCCATCCTCCCATCGTCCTGTGCACTCTCACAGAGTGGGCCTCCTCAGGGTGCCGTCAATCAGACAATGTCGGCTGGCAGCCCCCAGAGGGAGAGCGTTCTCTGTGGGAGTGCCGACCCTCTGGAACGGTTTGCCCACCGGGCTTAGGACAGCCCCCGACCTCCTCTCCTTCCACCATGAACTGAAGACGTGGCTTTTTCATCAAATGGACTGACCCGTTGAGGGGGGTTTTTACATTGTAATAATTTTAATTAATTTTAATTGGATTTTATTTTATATTTAATTCGTATTGTTGAATTTTTATCTTGTAAGCCGCCCTGAGTCCTTCAGGAGAAGGGCAGCATATAAATTGCAATAAAATAAATAAATAAAATAAATAAATAAGTAGTGCATCCCTCTCCCTCCCTCTCCCTCATCTCTCTCCCTCTCCCTCCCCCCCCTCTCTCTCATTTATTATTGGATATTTTATTTATTTATTCATTTGTTAAATTTATTTGCTTCCCATTGTGAGGCTACTCAGGGTGGCTTACAACAGTAAAATGGAAAAAATGATATAAAATATAAACTTAACAATAATAAAGCAATAAAACAAAAATACACAAAGTACAAGAATATGAATTAAAAGATTTCTTAACAATAAGGAATAATTGCTTTTTGTTTTTACAAATAAGTCTCCATTCATTCATTCATTCATTCATTCATTCATTCATTCATTCATTCATATATTTGATAGCCCACCTTTTCTTCAGGAGTCCAAACAGACATAATTAAGAATCTATTTTTGTTTCCATCACAAGATACTAGTGAAATACTGACTGGCTCTTGCACAGATCTTTAAATAAAATTAAGGCAATGGGATTGAGAATCAGTTTGTTATAGAATCAGGTTATGGCATCAGGCTAGATACTGGAAGACAGTGAGTTCCAATCCTGCTTTAGGCAGAAAGCCTAAATATATTAATGGGGTTGAGAACCAGTAGATATAGTGATTAAGGAAGCAATCTGGAAACTGGGAGATAATGAATTCCAGTCTTGCTTTAGGTACAACAGCAATTGGGTGACCTGGTCCAGTCATTCTTTCTTTCAGCTTTAGGAAACAGGCAATGACAAACCTCTTCTGAGACCCAGGCAAGAAAACTATACTGATTCTGGCAGTTGCCAGGAGTTAACACTGATTTGAAGATGTACACACAGAGATTAAAAGGGTTATCCTACTCATATGAGAAAAATTCACATAACATAAAGCAGTTCCTCGAACATCTCTTTTGTGGTGTCCAGAAACTCACAGAGGATCTCATAATTAATTGAATGGACATTCAATAGCTTAGTAGCTGGATTATAATTGTAATTAATAATTGAAGGCAATAATGAAGACTGTTGGACGTAACTGGGGTTCACTATACTCAGAATGAAATAATTTCATGTTTTCCATAACTCGTCCTATTATATGTTCTTATATGTTTTTTTCTTTCATGTCCAGCTCCACTATTATCTGAAAAGAATCTCATTTAATAACAGCGTTGGAGATGTAATAAGTTTTGATATGAATGGGAAATTGCTAGTTGGATTTGACATTATAAACTGGATAACATTCCCAAACCAATCCCTTCATCGAAGAAAAGTTGGGAAACTCGATCCTTGGGCTCCTAAAGAGAAGATGCTTATGATTAATGATGATGCCATCACTTGGCAGAGTAGCACTAACCTGGTAGTCTTTTATCTTCTATGATTTTCAGTTGACAATATTAAATCCTTTGTCATACAAATGTGCACGACTATAAACATACAAAGATGGCTGACAAAGATTACAGACAAGCTTTAAAAGAATGTATTATTCTTTAAAAGCACAGTTGTAGTTTTGTATAAAATAAGGCCTGTCAGATGGCTTGTTTGCCTACCAGTTGTTATCAACTCAGTTTAAATTGCATTCAAAATTGACCTGAACTGTTTTAAATATTTGCATATTTAACATTATTTACAATATATACACACACACACACACACACACACACACACACACATATATATATATATATATATATATATATATATATATATATATATATGTGTGTGTGTGTGTGTGTGTGTGTGTGTGTGTGTGTGTGTGTGTGTGTGTATATATATATATATGTATATGTATATATATATGTATATATATGTATATGTATATACACACACACTCTTACATTTGTGTGTGTGTGTGTGTGTGTGTGTGGTGGGGATGGGGGTTAGTGGGTGGGGGTGGCTGTAAGATGGCTTGTCTGACAGAGAGTGAATGGTTCAAAGTCACCCAGCTGGCTTTTGTGCCTAAGGCAGGACTAATGCTCTGCTGGTTTCTAGGCCAATATCTTAGGGAGAATATTAATATTTGCATGAACAAGTACATCAATACCTATATCTATAATTTCTGTATCTATCTATCTATCTATCTATCTATCTATCTATCTATCTATCTATCTATCTATCTATCTAGGAATTTTTTAGATTTTTAAAGATTTTTTCCAGAGTATCCATTCCATGAGAGAAGTTTAAGAATAGAATAGAATAAAATAGAATACTTCAGTTGGCCAAGTATAGTTAGAACACACAAGGAATTTGTCTCTGGTGCAGAAACTGTCAATGTACATGTAAAACAACAGAGTAATAATAATCATTATAATGATGCCAATAAGAGAGGGTAGTAAAGAAAATAAGGATAATAATAACACTACAGCCATACAACATGGGTAAATGTACATAGACATTAGACAGTACTGTGAGAATTAGATGTTCAGCAGAGTGATGGCATGAGGGAAGTGTGTCTAGTTTTTTTGGCATGCAATGTCCTATAGCAGTGTCCTGAGGTGAGGAGTTAAAACAGATATGAGGGGTCTGTAAATATTTTCTCAGAAGGGTCTTCTTCTGACCCATGCAACATACTGATCTTTTATGGAAGGCTGGCTGTTCCTTTTGCAATCCTAACAATCCATTGGAATCTGTTGTTGTTAGTTGCGAAGTCATGTCCAACCCATCGCAACCCCATGGACAATGTTCCTCCAGACCTTCCTGTCCACTACCATCCTCTGGAGTTCATTTAAACTCACACCAACTGCTTTAGTGACTCCATCCAGCACCTTGTTTTCTGTCATCCCATTCTTCTTTTGCCCTCAATTTTTCCCAGCATTAGGTTCTTCTCCAGTTCATTAGGTGGCCTTCTAAAGAGCAGTCAGAGTTGAACTCCTCTAGGACTGACCGGCTTGATCGCCTTGCAGCCCAAGAGACTCGCAGGAGCCTTCTCAGCACCATAGTTCAAAGGCCTCAATACTTTGGCGCTCAGCCTTTCTTATGGTCCAACTTTCACAGACATACATTGCAACTGGGACAACCATAGCCTTGACTATAAGCACTTTTGTTGGCAGGGTGATGTCTCTGCTTTTTAGAATGCTGCCTAGATTTTCTATAGCTTTCCTCCCCAGGAGCAAGCATCTTTTAATTTCTTGGCTGCAATCCCCATCTACAGTGATCTGGGAGCCCAGGAAAATAAAATCTATCACTAGTCCTTTCTTCCCCATCTATTTGCCAGGAATTGAGAGGGCTGGATGCCATGATCTTAGTTTTCTTAATATTGAGTTTCAAGCCAACTTTTGCACTCTCCTTCTTCACCAGCATCAAGAAGCTCTTTAGTTCCTCTTCACTTTCTGCCATTAGAGTGGTATCATCTGCATATCTGAGGTTGTTGATATTTCTCCTGGCAATCTTAATTACAACTTTTGATTCATCTAGCCCCACCTTTCTCATCATGTGCTCTGCATATAAGTTAAATAGGCAGGGTGACAGTATACAGCCTTGCCAGACTCCTTTCCCAATTTTGAACCAATCCGTGTTTCTGTGTCCAGTTCTCATTGTTGCTTCTTGACCTTCATATAGGTTTCTCAAGAGACAAATAAGATGATCTGGTACTCCCATCTCTTTAAGAACGTGCCACAATTTGTTGTGATCCACACAATCAAAGCTTTAGCATAGTCAATGAAGCAGAAGTAGATGTTTTTCTGGAACTCCCTAGCTTTCTCCATGATCCAGCATATGTTGGCAATTTGATCTCTAGTTCCTCTGACTCTTCGAAATCCTGCCTGTACTTCTGGTAGTTCTCGATCCACATACTGCTGGAGCCTAGCTTGTAGGATTTCGAGCATAACTTTACTAGCATGTAAAGTGAGTGCAACGGTACAATAGTTTGAACATTGTTTGGCATTGCCTTTCTGTGGAATTGGAATGTAAACTGACCTTTTCCAATCTTGTGGCCACTTTGAGTTTTCTAAATTTGCTGGAAAACCTATCCTATTTAGTTGCTGTACCAAACCAGAAAGTTATAGAAATACAAATGACAGACTAAATAATTCCTCTGAAAAAAATTTGTATTGAAAAACTTTTTCAATAAAAAAAGAAAAAAAAAGAAAACACAACAAGGAATGTTCTTCCTGCATCAACATCTCATGGGGCAGTCTGAACTTCCTGAGTTGATGCAGGAAGAACATTCCTTGTTGTGTTTTCTTTTTTTTTTTATTGAAAAAGTTTTTCAAATACAAATTTTTCCCCTTTTTTCTCCCCCCCTCCTCCCTAACCCTCCTCACCTCATTTTTCAAGTTTCTGGTTCACAGTCTCGTGATATCTTGCCATTTCCTCCAGGACAAATTCTTTTAAATTAAAGCCATTCTGCTGAGTCTGTAAGCTCAGAACTTGTTCACATAATTGTAAATGGGGGAACACCCCCCCGCTGCTTGTTTGTCAGGCTTTATTAGTTTAACGCCATCCTGCCACACAAACAAACTCTTTTTAAAGAAAGAAAACTTTTCCCCAAGCAAGATCAAGTACAAATCTCCAAGAGAAAAGAAACTTAAAATAGATATTTTTCTTCTAGATTCTAGCCAGCACTGTTTATTCCGCTACTTTGTAGCTTGCTATGGAAGGACTTTCGCTTTCAGCTTTCTTCTTCTTCTCAAGCCTCAGCAGTCGCCATTTTAAACTTTTTTTTTCCTTCACTTAAAAATACTTGTAAAATCATTAAAAATACTTGTGATTTAGGGTCCCAAGTCCAAATCTCGCCCTCTTTAATTAAACCATCTGTTAATTTCATTGATTGGTCCGGTCCCAGCACCTGGCTCTGCAAAAAGGCAGAGTTCTCCCGAAGCCCGGAGCAGCGGTGAGCGGAAATAGGGAGCCACAACCTGCTCGTCCCCAAGAGTAAAAAAAGAACTCTGGGGACTTCGCAGAGGGCTCTACCTGCCCTCGCCTGCTCTGTCTCACATTTCCTTCAGGAAATGGAGTTTTTCGAGCCGCCTTTCAGATGTAAAGGCAGCTCTTTACAGGCAACGGGGCTGGCGTTCTCAGAGGACCATCTGGCGGCGACGGAAGCCAGACCGGAAGCCCTTGTTGTGTTTTCTTAATGATGGTTCTAATGTTGTGTCAAATCCTGGAAGATTATAGAACCTTGAAACTGGAAGGATTCTACTGCTGAAACTGTGCTGTCAAATAAGAGGTGATAGAATAAAAGGGCTCCTGCTAAAATCCATTCTCTGTCTACAGTTTTAAGTGTGTTCAACTCCAAATATTTCTGGCTGTACTACAGGGCCAGTTGTTCAATGTCCCATCTATCTGCAGACTCATCATGATCTTGAATGAGATCAATATCTGTTTCATCATCCACAAACTTCAGTACTTTAGCAGTGGTAACCCTAAAGATGCAGTCATTGGTATATAGAAAGAAGATCAATGGAGAGAACACTGAGCCTTGAAGGGTGTTTGTGTTAATTGCCTGAGTTTTAGATGTATTAGACATATTTTTCCCTAGCTTCGTCTGTCACTTCCTGTCTGTCAGAAAGCTAATAATTCATATACAAATATGGACAGACACAGTTAGCTGAATCTATTTAGAGTGAAGAATTTCTGGATGGTCTTCCAAAGAGAGCAATATCAAGCAAGACAGCCATTTCATTTCATAAAGCATATTTAAGGGATACTTTATATGAATTTTGAAGTTCATATAAACAAAATATCCCTACAGTCCTAAGATGCAGTCCTAAGATGCTAAGGAAATACAGTACATGTTGTACGGAAACTCAATATGAACTCTATGTAAATGTCATAAGTATGTCCATATCATATGCCACCTTATATCCGGATGGGCAATTCAGACTTATCAGTCTTTAAAAATCCAGATTTGTGCTGTGAATGTATTCAAATATTTTTCCTGAATGGTAAAACTTTTTTTCATTTATGGATTAGACTATACCCACATCTCTTTGTTCTGATCGCTGCCATCCTGGTTATTTCAAACGAAAGCAAAAAGAGAAACCACCTTGCTGCTATGACTGTATCATATGTCCTGAAGGGAAATGGTCAGGCAAGATTGGTAAGAGCTATCACTCAAAAAGGGTTACTTTGTTTTCCTTCTGTATGGTGGTAATAACCATGCACATACACTAAATTGATGGCAGAAAAAGAGTGCAAGGATTATTCAAAATTATTATTTTAATTTAAGTCATCTTTATATAAAACGTTTAAAATATTTCATCAGATAATTTTGTTGTAGCAATATAGCAATATTAATTATGTACAATGCAACTATTACAATGAATAACCTAAGACACATTTGCTCAGATTTCACAGGTGAAATTCCAAGTTAGCTGAACTAGAGAAATCTTATTTTACATATATTATTTTAAAAATTAAGCTAGAATAATTAGTAATAACACAGGGCATTTCATATTCTTTTCTTTATAATGTGCACATGTTCAGTGAAGACCTGTAAATGATGCTTTTCTTCATGTTGTTTTAAACATGAGTGCAACCTTCTAGTGATTTAGAGATCTGATATTATTCTAAAGCCTGGATGAAATAAAAAGAAAGAAAGGTTTAGATTGCTTGACATTTTTTTCTCATTATCAAAGTATTAGAATTTTTAGTATGATGCCATAAGTAATTGATTCATTGATTGTATGCCATCAAGGAAGGGTCAACTTTAGTGATCACATAGCTAGGTCTTCTCCAGAATGAGCCATAATAAACTGGATTTAAAACTAAAATATAATTATAAACACAATAATCATAATAATTTTGTACTACTGGGGATAGAAATATCTGTGAAAAAACAATAAGAGAATGAGACTTTCCATTATTTTAGATGCTGAATACTGCTCAGGATGCCCAGAAGATCAATATGTAAGCAAAGACAAAGCTTCATGTATTCCTAAAACAGTAACTTCCTTCACTTATGAAGAACCTTTGGGCCTTGCTTTAACTATTATGGCCATCTTCTTTTTTTTATTAACAGCTGTGATTTTTGGAACTTTTTTGAAACATCACCACACCCCCATCGTCAAAGCAAACAACCGTGATCTCACCTACACTCTTCTCATTTCTCTCCAGCTTTGCTTTCTTTGTGCATTGCAGTTCCTTTTTAGACCTGGGGCTATAATATGCCTCTTTCGACAAATCACTTTTGGAATCATCTTCTCAGTGGCTGTATCATGTGTCTTAGCCAAAACCATCATTGTGGTTTTAGCTTTCCTTGCCACCAAGCCAGGATCCAGGATGAAAACATGGGTAGGGAAACAATTGGCAACCTCCATTGTACTTTCCTGCTCTCTTTTCCAAGCAGTCATTGGTATATTGTGGCTGGCAAAGGCTCCCCCCTTCCCAGAAGCTGATATGATTTCAGTCACTGAAGAAATTATACTAGAATGCAATGAAGGCTCAGTGTGCATGTTTTATTGCATCCTGGGCTATATGGGTTTCCTGGCAGTGGCCAGTTTTATAGTGGCTTTTCTGGCCAGGAAACTTCCCAGCACTTTCAATGAAGCCAAACTAATCACTTTCAGCATGTTGGTCTTTTGTAGTGTGTGGTTAGCTTTCATTCCAGCCTATTTGAGCACAAAAGGAAAATATGTGATAGCTGTGGAGATTTTTTCCATCTTAGCCTCTAGTGCTGGGTTACTCAGTTGCATATTTTTCCCGAAATGCTACATAATTATCTTGAAACCTGAGTTAAACCACAGGGAACTTCTCACACAGAGAAAACATTAAGAAACCATGTATTTCATTTAAGTTACTATTATTCTTTAAGCTGTGTCCTATTAGCATGCTAGCAATTATGAAATGTAGATATGATTATTTTAAAAGAATTTCTAGAAATGTTTAATGCTACTAGAGTCATGGTATTAAATGGTGTCAATTATTCATAAGAATATAATGAAAAAGGGGTTTTTAATCCCATGGTATCATACATATTAGTTGAGTATAATTTTGAGGATAGATTTATTTGAGTATACATTGCATTGTTACTCTGTGCAGCCTTTCTCTGTGCATCAGGTCTTGCTTTTCTAATGAGCTCCAGGAGATGAAGTGGCAGAAGAGACACTTAGAGTATGGTTGGATGAGGAAAGGAGTGAATCTCACTAAACACAAGTTAAAGTCCGCATTCATGGATACCTCGTGGTGATAAGAGTGCTAAAATATCACACTATTTCTCTGTGCCTATTATGCCACCTGATAAACAACTGATGGCCTTGTTTAGATTGACCCCTTGTTTGCTGTGGAGGGCAGGCCACAACATATGACCTCTTCAGGGCTACAGGGAAAAGTATACATTTTACAATTGTTCAGATTGGACTTTGGATAGGTCCAGAATAGTGACCTGGGTGATCACCTTATGGTGTTTATGTGGACTGACTTTAATGAAGTGAAATATCTTGTAAGGTACATCAGGAATCAATGCCATCATCCTGCCTCATCTACATTGAATCTTAGATCATCCTCAGTCCAGGGTTTGTGTCATTAGTATATGAATGATACCCAATTATACTTCTCAACTCCAAGCTATGCTGTGATTCTGTCAATACAGGAGCCTGAGTGGCGTAGGAGGCTAATGCCTCCTAAGGCAGCATTTAACATCCAGCTGCCTGCAATTGCTGCGAGTTCAATTCTCACCAGGCTCAAGGTCGACTCAGCCTTCCATCCTTTCTAAGGTGGGTAAATTGAGGACCCAGTTTGTGGGGGCAATAAGATGACTTTGTATAAATATACAAAAGTATGAAGGCTATTGCTTAACGCATTGTAAGCCGCCCTGAGTCTCCGGAGAAGGGCGGCATATAAATCAAATTTTTAAAAAATACATTAACCTAGTGTCAGGTGACTGTTCAGGTCTGAGTGAGTGTAGGAAAGACTTTGACTCAATATTGAGAAAAATATTTGATCTCACACACATACAGGGCAGAATAAAGGACATTTTTTAAATTTGATTTGTTGGAGTTCACACTTTCCCATTTGAAACTAGTGTGCAAGTTGGGGAGTATCCTACAGTTGCAATTACTCTTTGAAAATCAGGTGGCTTATAAACTTCAGCATAAGTAGATCATATAGACCAGTTACACTCTTTTGTAGAACCAGATGCCCTTCAGATGGTGTAATTCAAAGTTCTAGTCACCACTTATAAAGACGTCATGGCATTTCATTTATTAGATTTCTATACCACCATTCTCCCGAAGGACTCAGGGCGGTGTACAGCCATATTAAAACACATATAAATATACAAAATTTAAAACAATTTAAAATTAAAAATATAAAAATTTGGACCATAGATTAAAACACACAGACACCCATTCTAAAATTCATATTAGGCCAGGCCAGCTTGTTGGAACAAGAGGGTCTTCAAGGCGCGGCTAAAGGTACACAGGTCAGGGATGAGATGAATCTCAAGGGGCAGCTCATTCCAGAGGGCTAGTGCCACCACAGAGAAGGCTCTCCCCCTGGGTGTCGCCAGTCAGCATTGTCTGACCAACGGCACCCTGAGGAGCCCCTCTCTGTGGAAGCGTATTGGCCAGTGGGAGGCTGTTGCTGGCAGCAGGCAGTCTCGTATATATCCCAGTCCTAAGCCATGGAGCGCTTTAAAGGTGGTGACCAACACCTTGAATCGCACTCGGAAGACCACCGGGAGCCAGTGCAGCTCGCCCAGGAGGGGTGTTACGTGGGTGCGCCGAGTTGCCCCCATAACCACCTGCGTGGCTGCATTCTGGACCAGTTGGAGCCTCCGAGCGCTCTTCAAGGGGAGCCCCATGTAGAGAGCATTACAGTAGTCCAGACGGGATGTGACGAGGGCATGAGTGACCATGCGCAGGGCATCCCGGTCCAGAAAGGGATGCAACTGGTGTATCAGATGAACCTGATAAAAAGCTCCCCTGGCCACGGCTGTCATATGATCTTCCAAGAACAGCTGTGCATCCAGGAGAACACCCAAGTTGCGAACCCTCTCTGAGTGGGACAAGATCTCACCCCCAATAGTCAGTGATGGAGCCAGCTGACTATACCAGGATGCCGGAAACCACAGCCACTCGGTCTTGGAAGGGTTGAGTCTGAGCTTGTTCCTCTCCATCCAGATCTGCACGGCCTCCAAGCACGGGACATCACATCAAGGGCATCATTGGGGTGGCCTGGGGTGGAGATGTACAGCTGGGTGTTGTCAGCATACAGATGTCACCGCACCACAAATCCACAGATGATCTCATGCAGTGGCTTCACATAAATGTTGAACAGAAGGGGCGAGAGGACCGACCCTTGTGGCACCCCACATATAAGATGCCTCGGGGTTGACCTCTGCCCCCCCGCCAACACAGACTGCGAACAGTCGGAGAGAAAGGAGGAGAACCACCGCAACACAGTGCCCCCCCACCCCCAACTCTGTTTATTTGAGAGTTTCCACTATTTCTGCCAGTCCACTGTGTTCGGAGTCGATGTACTCCAAGTACTCTTAATTAAACGTCATCTGATGAGAATGAGGAAAATAAACTTTCTTTTTCAATCTCTGCTTTCTGATACAGCATCCCCTTTCCCCAGAGTTATCCTTCATTCCCAATCTCCTTGTTTTCTGGAAATTGCTTAAGATCAAGATCTAGAGTTGGACTGTTTGTTTCATCAGGCTGGGTAAGTATTGTTTTGGTTCAATCAATTATGTGATTTTAATCTGTTTTTAATCTATGTATGAGATTAAAACACATAGGGATGATTCACACCCTGGTCAGCGCTTTTTTATTCTCCTGCCGTAGGGAAGGAGATATAGAAGCATAGGCAGCCGCACAAATAGGCTGAAGAACAGTTTTTATCCATGAGCTGTCAGGCTGCTGAATGGAAAATAACTTTACAAGGGACTTCCTGTTTGCTCTCTGTCGCTGCCAGATGGTCCCTTGGGACTGCCAGCCCCGTCGCCTGTAAAGAGCCGCCTTTACATCTAAAAGGCGGCTCGAAAAACTCCATTTCCATAAGGAAATGTGACACAGAGCAGGTGAGGGCAGGTAGAGCTCTCTGCGAAGCCCCGAGAGTTTTTTTTTACTCTTGGGGGTGAAGCAGATGAGGCTCCCTATTTCCCTTGCCACTGCTCCGGGCTTTGGGAGACCTCTGCCTTTTTGCAGAGCCAGGCGATGAGAACAAGCCTTTTAAAGAAAATTAACAGACTAAGTAAAGAGGATGCGATCTGGACCTGTGACCCTAAATCGCAAGTATTTTTATTTACTTTGTAAAAGATATTGAAGAAAGCAAAAAAGAATTTTTAAAATGGCGACTGTCGAGGCTTGAGCAGGGAAAGCTGAAAAGCTGAAAAGGGAAAGTCCTTCCATTTCTTATTAAGCCACAAAGTAGCGGAATAAATACTCCTGGCTACAATTGAAGAAAAAGCTCCACTTTTGTGTTTTCTCTTTCCTGGAGATTTGATATTGATCTTGTTTGGAAAGAAGCTTTTTTTTTCTTTTCTTTTCTTTTCTTTTCTAAAATTTGTCTGTGTGGAAATATGGCGTTTAGACTAACAAAGCCAGACAAACAAGCAGTGGGGGAGGGGATTCCCCCATTTACAAACTATATGAACAAGTTCTAAACCTACAGACTCAGAAAACTGATTTTAATATAATTGAATTTCTTTTGGAGGAGATTGTAAGAAGGGATGAGATTATGAACCAGAACTTTGAAAAATTTAAGCAGGAAATTAAAGAATTGGTGCAATTAAAGTTTGATACTTTGCAACGAAAGATTGCAAAAGTGACTAATGGTTTTTCAGAAATTGCTATGAAGTTGGATACAAATATTAATTTATTAGAGTCTAAAATGGAGGAAATTGAGGATAATTTGGACAATAAAATACAAAGAATTGAAAATGATTTGATAAACACTCAAGACAATAGCTTAGAAGAAAAACCTAAAATGGAAGCTGATCATGAGACTTGTAATGCTGAAAATATAAAACAACGGATTGAAAAAGAAGTTTTAATGATGCAACATAATCTCACAGAATATGCGATTAGACTGAGAGGAATACAGAAAAACAATAGAGATGATTTAAGGAAAATATCTTCTGAAATTCTGGCTGGGATCTTAAAGGTTCATTCTGAGGAAGTATTTTGTAGGATTGACAGAGTCTATAGAATAAATTCCTGGATTGCAAAGCAAAGGCAACTGCCTAGAGATGTGGTGATTTATTTTACAGATAAAGAAATAAGAAATAATATTGTGCAAAAATCTTTTAATTCTACTTTGCAATTGTTTGGAAGAAAGATTTGGATATATAAAGAATTACTGCCTAAGATGTTATTGGAAAGAAAGAAATTTGGATTTCTGGTGACTGAGCTTAAAAAACAAAATATTTTATTTAGATGGGATGTTCCAGTTGGTATAATATTGAGATACCAAGGAGAAAGATACCAATTAAATACTGTTGAAAAAGCGGAAGAATTTCATCAAAAATTTTTGAAAATGAGCTCAACATTTTTATGCACAACACAAGATAAGCAGAAGGAGTTGGAAATAAAGGAAAAATATCGAGCTACAGAGGCCTCTGTAGATGAATCGCCTTTGGATTCTTTAGATGCCTCAGTTGGATTATCTATAAATAAGAGAGATGTGGCATCGGATTCTAACGTGATGACTCATCAAGTCACAGACAAGCATGGAAATCAATTAGTTGATACCCAACTTATATAAAAGAAATACGAGCCACAAAAGCAAAACCAACAAGACCAAGTCATAAATCAGAACGAAAATCAACCAGTTGATATACAACTTGTAGAAAGGAAATTAGGATGGAGATCAAACCCACAAAAATTCAAGAAAAAAAGAAATAGATCTCACAAAAATAAAAATTTCTAAATTAGGCAACAGTGAAGCCAGTTATTTAAAAGATGACCGAATACATGAAAAGATAGTTGAGGCGAAGTATTGGTTAATATTATCCTGAGGAAAGTGAAGACCTCTGCAATGCCATAATTTTGGGATGTGAAAAGGGCCTTAAATTGTTGGATTGGAATTATCTATTTTGGAATTTTTTGATAAATGTATTATGTTTATGCTGAGCTATATGGCAAGAGAGCTGGGGCATGCAGAAGATCTGGTTGTTACCCCATTATGACGGTGGGAATTAATAATCCTGAAGAAAGCCACTACTACAGATATTATATGGAATACAATTACAATGTCACTCGGGTGGTTGTTTTCTTTTTTTATATACATGAAGATATTCATTACTGATGGGGGTAGATGATAACTGAGGATTTTGAACATTTTGTTGCAATCAGGATGTTATGTTATCCTAATATGGGTGATGGAGTTAACAATCCAGTGGAAAGATATCAAAGAAGACATTATACAGACCATAAGTTTAAATTCATTGATTTTATCTATATAAGGGAATATTTTTTTTAGTAGGGTGGGCAGAAGAATAAAGATATTAAGAATTGTTATGTATGGTAATTTTGTAGGAAAGTGGGTGGAGACAGGCTAGTTTATTGATTGTTTAGTTTAAGAAAAGGGATGTTTAAGAGATATATTGGAGTGGAGGAAATGGATAGAGTTGAATAAATGTCAAATTAGGATTTATTATATAGTTTTATAGGGGAAGGCTGCTTCGAAATGTTATATTAATATACACAAAAGATTAAATGTTAAATTAGGATTTATTATATGGTCTTAAAGTGGAAGGTTGTTTTGAAATGTTATATTAATATACAGATATATGTATGGGGGAGGAGAAAAAGGGCAGATTATTGCTAAATTGGGAGTTATAATAATATTACTATGCTAAATCAGAAGTTATTATACAATGTTATAGTAGAATGTTATTTTGAAATGTATGGTAAAAGGGGGATGTAATAATATTATTAGAAAGAAAGGGTCAGTATTTGGGGGATGGAGTAAGGGGATGGTAAAATATTATATAATCTGTTATGAATTTGGATCTTACTTTGAAGAAGTCACAGGGGGACGGGTGGTGAGGGGGGTTAGGGAGGAGGGGGGAGAAAAAAGGGGGAAAAATCTGTATTTGAAAAACTTTTTCAATAAAAAAAAAAGAAAATAACTTTACAACAACATAGTACAACTGACTTGCGGGGCCGGTGCAATATGCAATAAGTTCAAATGGTGCAGTAGGATTGTGTGTTTGTTAGTAGGATTCACTGGGTTAGGGATTTTTCTTTTCTTATACTGTCTTTCACTGTAAATTGTATTGGGTTGGGGGGATGCACGAAGGGAGTCTCAGCCAATATCATTGTACACATGTACTCTGACAATAAAGGTTTGGAAATTAGATTTATTGTTAACCTCCCTGACACTCTTGGTATTGAATGACTTTAACAAATCAAATGAATCAAATAAATAAATAAAATTGAGTTGGCATAAATCTTGTGGTTATCATTCAAGAATCAAATATAAAACTTTTTTTAATTAAAAGACAATTTAGGATGTAAAAGTATTTCAGAACATCCTTTATAAAGAATAATATCACAATATCTTGTCTTCAAATCACAGATTGGCAAGGTTTCAAGGATTATGTCTATGGAGATTCTCAATCATCCAGATCATGGTTGTCCCAAAGGTGCAAAGATTTTTTTTTATTTTTTACACAAACACACAAACAAATATACAATGTATTTTTTCTGAACAGTGTATTTGCCAGATCACAAATTTATACAATTTTTAATCATCTCCAACACAATTTATATATTCAGTTTTTGCCATAGTATTTATTCTCTCTAATTTTTATAAACCAATATTACTCTTCATCTTTAATCTTAATAAAATTCATTTTTCCCTTTTCATCTCTAAATTAAACCCCTTAAATTTAAAATCTCACAACATAACATAATTCCCAATATTTCCTTAAATTCCCTTATTCTAATCACAAATATTTTTCTTTCAACTGTTCCAAATCAACTGATCAACTAACAACTGTTCCAAATAATACAATCCAACATCTTAATAAAGATCAGTTAAATTTATAGCATTACAATCATTCAGTTCTTTTCCATTGTTTTTTCAAGTGTATAATCTCTTTTTATTGAATAATAAGCCATATTACTTTGTATAGTACATTTTCTTAAATCTTAACTCCAGTTTTCAATTACTTTGTTAAATATATGTATTTATACCTCTTCAAACAATATCTTAATCATTTCTAATTTCACAAGTCATAATACAATATCATTTCCAATTTTTAAGTTAAATTCCAGTATTACAATTAAAAATATTCAAATTGTTACAATTTCCCTAGTTACAATTAAAAATGTTCCAACTATTACAATCTCATATATTAAACTTATTCATATTTCTAAATCTTATTTCTATTCATTTATCCATCCATGTAATTTTCCATTACTTTATGCTTACTTAGTTGATTTCATTATTACAATTCAATACCTTCCAAGTATCACAATCTCAACTATTGCATTTTCTAAAATTCATTATATCTATAAGTCTTACTTCAATTCATTTTTTAATTCTAAATGTATACAACATATTCCATATTCTTTCTCCCTTTCCCCCATTTTTTTATTTTCTTCTTTTTCTTCCTCCATCTTTTGTTTCGTATTTTAAAATCCTGAACTTTTCTGTTTTGCCCTGTATTTCCCATTATTCTCCATCCCTTTTTTCTCTTTCTTATTTTCCCACTATTAATCCCAGTGTAATCATTTAAGTTTTTATATTCTTTCTATTCCCCCCTTTTTCCCCTCTTTGTTTCTTTCCACCCTCTCTTCTGCCGACTCGAAGAGTTTCCTCTGACATCTGAGGAACTTGCCTGTTCCTCATGGTCTTGCTAGGTGCCTCTCCTTCTTATCAATCTCTACAAGACACATCTGGTCCAAAGATCCCTCGGCAGTGGCTTGTCAGCCCAGGATTTTGCAAGACTCATAAGAGCCCGCTATTCCTGGACTGTCTCGTCGCGACACTTCTGGTTGAATCCTGGACTTTCTTTTTTTTTTTTATTGAAAAGTTTTACAAAAACAAAAGAATTTTTTCCCCCAATATTCCCCCCACCCTTTACCTTCCCTCCCTCCTCGACTTCCCAGAGCAAAATACAAGGTATTTCAATTAACAATCATAAGCTAAATTAACCTATCTATCCTCAAACTACTAAATCCCCCCCTGAAACCTTAACTCCACTACTGGACTTTCTTCTTGATGTTGTTTTTTCCTTTGAATTGTTTCCCTTCTCATTCAAGAAGCTGAAGAACTGGATTGAAGAAACTTCTTGAATGAAAAGCAAAATGCTTTCAAAAGAAAAAAAAACTTAAGAAAACACAATTGCTTTTTGGATTGGAAAGACATGTGACTCTGCCCTGAGTCTTCAGAGAGGGGCGGCATATAAATTAAATTAATTAAATTAAAAGATTTTTTAAACAAATGTTTATTTGAAGAGCAGTGTAAAAGCATCATGTCATGATAAAATATATTTTAGATCTGAAACTAAAGGTTTATAATTTTTAGGGATTTCTTCTTGTTAATTGTTCCCGTGTGTTTAGCTTAGGTTTCAGCAAAATAATATAACATTTGGGGAAAAAGATACAGCCCAACAGCCCAGCACTGGAAGCTAAAATTGAAAAGATCTCCACAGCCACCATGTATTTCCCTTTGGTGCTCAGATAGGTTGGAACAAAGGAGAGCCAAACACTGCAGAAAACCAGCATGCTGAAAGTGATGAACTTGGCTTCATTGAAACTATCAGGTAATTTCCTGGCAAGGAAAGCTACAGTGAAACTTGCACATGCCAAGAAACCCAAATAACCAAAAACATAGTAAAACATTCTATCTGAACCCTCACTACATTGCAGGATAATTTCTTTAGGTGCTGAATGTGTATCAGCAGAAGGAAATGGGGGAGAGGTTGTCAGCCATGTAGCACAAATACTTGCTTGAATAAGGGAACAGCAAAAAACAGTGGAAGTGGCTAGTTTTCTCCCTACCCATTTTTTCAACCTTGATGCTGGATTGGTGGCCATAAAAGCCAAAACAACAGTCATGGTTTTGGCCAACAGACAAGAAACAGCCACTGAAAATGTAATGGCAAAAATAGTTTGCCGGAGAGGACAGGTCACCTGAGTAGGTTTGCCAATAAAGAGTAATGCACAAAGAAAGCAGAGTAAGAGAGAGACAAGGAGAATGTATGTGAGATTCCGGTTGTTGGCTTTGACAATAGGGGTGTTGTGGTGTTTCAGAAATATTCCTAGAACCAGAATAGTTATCAAGGAACATAAAAGAATCCCAAGAATTAAACCAATCCCCAGGAGCTCTTCATAGGACAAAAAGTCTATGCCCTTGGAATGCATAAATTATGATCTTTGTTTGGGTAATCATTTTCTTGGCAATGAAAGCATTCAGCTGCATCTAGAGGAAAAGAGAAGAAAAACTGTGGTTTCTCTGAAGTCCTCTTCAACGGAATGCTGAAATGGGATAACAGCTAAGACTAAATACCTCATACAGATTATATAAAAATATAGTAT